AGCATTCACTTCTTAACCTACACATCTACTGAGATCCGACCATTGCTTTATGGTCCGCATCACCATAAATGTTTATCAACCACGAAATTGATTACCATAAAAAGGGTCGCGATAACTACACTATTGTGATATAATTGTGATGTGATGTGATTGCGATATAATGAACTAAAGTTACTGCGGAAAGCCAGACGCTGTGTAAAGTTAATCCATAATATTATTTCTATCTTGTCACCTTATATTTTTCCATGCCCCCACCGCAGAATGGTTTCTTCTCGTGATTACAGGTGAACAGTAAACTTTCAACTTTCCAACGGAATTAAGAACAGGGGAAAACAGGACACAGTCTTGCCCATACCTTTATACAACATCAGAAACCGTGGCTACCACGTAACGGGAAAGAATGGAACAGCACTACACTCAGCCATTCATATTCACCCATGACCTACGAATCAATCCATATATAGGCATAGTAGCATTGCGATAATGAGAAAAAAGTATCACAAGAAGGTGCTGATTTCGAATGTTACGGTGATCTTACTCTTAGTCGAATCTTACGAGAGAAACGGTGATCTTAGTCTAAATTGTGAATTCTTTTTAGCAAGAAATGAACATTGCATCTGTGCACCGGCCTTGAAACTGCGAGCGACCGCGCCCATTACTTTACAAACAGGAAGACTATATGTACCGTCATGCCGCTTAACACGAGTACCTCATAGGGACGAAATTCGACTTTACCCACCTAACAGGTGTCTTTGTGGCGTGATAACCAACAGAAAGTGATAATGACTGTTATCATGAATGTCGTTGTATTTACTGAGTCCCTTGTCACTATGCAGAAACTGAACCGATAAACCTTAGGCACAACAGAGACAGATTTCAAGCTCCAATCAACTTACAAACCTACGAAAGCAGGTGTCTTGACATGAAGAAATTTTGTCCCCTCTCCCTGATTAACTACACCGGGAAACAAATGACTCCAAAGTTCATACCGTCGCCTAACGGTAACGATTTGAGAACGCATAATTAAATTAATTTTGAAATTCTACATACTTCTACATGCCGTTTAGTCTAAGCTGAAATGCAGTTTCATTTCAATGTTCTGTTTAAACTGCAAAACTACCGTGGGAAATTTGATGTCACGATCAAGAGGAAAAAACGTCACGAAAGCTTCAGTCTGAAACATATGTCATTGGCATGAATGACAGTTAAACAATATAGAGAAAAAAATCCACCTTATCCCTTTAAAACATAAACCAACAATCCACAGTCTTTAATATAGTATAAATTAGGTGCATGGCTAAATCTTACTACGGAGCAAAACGGAACTCGAATAAAAGGATACTACTACTAAATCACACTCACCTTTCGACATTGTTCGGATGGCCCAAACGCTTCACTTGACGCCTAGTGATCATGGCCACTAAAACAGCTGCGGGTTAGATTCATAAGAGAAATATAAAGTCGCCAAAATGGCGGGCAAGGTAGTTCCTTAGCAGGCTGACGATCACGGCAGATCTACCACGCAGTAAAACAATACTGTTTTCTGGACGACGTTTAGAAACTGATCATTTTGAT